CCCACCACTATTGGTGAGTCCATTTCTGACAGTCACTGTGCACTGTGGTCCCTTCCATTTGACTAAAACGAAATAAAAAAACATGTTAGGGGACACAGGGACCCCACACTTCTGTAAGGGTCAAAAGCTGATGATCTGCCAGAGGCTATAATGCTGGAAAGAACTGAAGGTAGGTGGGTAGGAGGCACTGGTGAGTTGAGTATAGAAACTCTTTTTTCAAGGACCTGCTGTTATCATTTTGTTACAGCCTTAACAGGATTGCTTTAATGCAGTTGCAACCAAAAGTGACCCTGATCAGCCATTTCCTTTGGTTAATGGAGATTGCTCTGAGCTATGATGCAACCCTTAGAGCAGTTACATATAGAGAAAAAAGCATGTACATAATAGGACAGAAAGAATGTATTTTCTGGTGATTTTATATTTTGCGGGAGTTCTCTTCGAAATGACTTAGTTAGTTACATGATCAGATTCTCACATGCCGTTCATGTAAAACTATGCCTAGCTCATAAAAGTCTTCCTCTGCCCCCTTTGTCCTGCTACCCACTTGATAACAGGGAGCCGCTTTGATTCTTATTCTCTAAAACCAAATGCAGAACAACAGTGGTATTCTTAATGGAGACACCCCTTTCAGTGGTCATTTCTGAAGTTTTTTACTGGTTCATAACCTCCACCATCAGAAAGCCCAATAAAAAAGAATAAAGCTCGGGAGAAGAATGCGATATCATATTATGTTGCCTTAGACGTCCATGCTTTCATCCTCTCCCACACACGTCTTTCGTTTTGCTTTCTAGTCACCCACCAACATGGGTCCGTCGTTGGCACTGAGAGGTTGACATCAAAGTCCTTGTCTAGCTGGCGGTCTGATGCTAATGTCGGCATTTTAGAAATATATAGAGTAGCACGGGGGTTCTGATGAATGTCTCTCTCACATGGGAAGACAAAGAGCCTTGAACAAAGCCCTCTAATCTGCCACTCTGTAGAGTCCTGGCGGGCAGAGTGTCGATGCCATGTACAGCCTACTATGAACTGTGATAGCGCCCTTTCAGTCTACAAACAAGAGGTCTAATTTAGAGGAACACTCTGTCATCTGATTATTTCATCCAATTCATTAGTTTAATAAAAAGGATTAAAAGAAAGAATTAAAAAATAAAACAACAAATCCATGACTGTGAAGGGGACAATTCAGAGGCTTATTAACTTCTTAGGCTGTATCATAATGTTAAAGGGCAAAAGAGAGGTCATCATTTTATGTGTCATTTTAAAAATCAAAGAGGCACAAATATCCATGAAATCATGAATCACGGTTTGAACCAGCACCGCAGAGTTCCATATGGATTAAAAAAAAAATCATGCCCGAAAGATGTTTAGATTGCAAGATCTACCAAGGACAGAAAAAAAATTATCACAGGCAACAGATGAGACGAATCCACAAATTAATCTTGAAAAGATATTGCCATGGCAACATTTACATATTTCAGATTTTAGTCTAAATACATTTTCATGTTTGTTTTGGTGTTGCGAATGTTGTGCGAGCGATGCAGGAAGCATTCTAATTGGCAATAGACAACAGCACTGACTTGCTGATAAGTTAAAGTTGAATGTTAGTAGGCTTGTTCATTAATTTATTTCAAAGAGTAAAACCAAAGCTGGGTTGTAGGCAGCTGCTGTCCTACAGTATGTCACCATCCTGAAGGGGGCGCTGTGTTACTCTCTCAGGCTGGCAGGACTAGGTTGTTCCCTGCAATGGACTCAAGGCGGCCATTTTTGGAACGCTGGTGTCTCTTATTGGTTGAGGCTTAAGACCCATGAGATTTTGCAGCCATCTTTGATACAGTAGCACTTATCCCCAAAGAAACCATTGAGGAGTCCCCTAATTTCAAATGACAATGACCTCTTTGGCAATGCCACATCCTCTGACACACCAAGGTTGGAAGGGAGGATTTATTTGGGTTATACATCCAACAATGCAACAATAACAAGAAAATGGCAACAACATTAAACAGTTATATGTTAAGAGTGATTTGTACAATACAACAAAACAAATGGAAGACTAGCTATTTCTGAATCCTGAATCTAGGAGGAGGGCCCTATCTAAAGACAATATTAGAAGCTGAAGGTCCATGAGTCTTTCCAAAAATCCCTTCCACTGGTCAATGTGGTGTTAAATGTTGGGGCCCAGAGCCTTCACATTGGACCACTCAGGTAAAGGGTGTAAGTCCCCAAACAAAGTCCCTTGTTAGGTTGGTGCTGTCCCTTTAAGACGAGGGCAAAGAGGTTGTAGCCAGCATGTAGGCAGGTGCAGCCTGATTTCTACATTGTTGGTGGTGCTCAAACTGGAGCAACACGGCAGCCGAAGAGGAAATCAAGAGAAACCTGGCTTCTCTATGGTTCAAGGTCCCTGGAGACAGCGTTCCACTTGGCTACACTGCATTCAGGCAATCCCTTGTGCCATCTTTGATCAACAGAGTCTTACCAGGTTGTGGCATGTATTTTGCAAAGTGGATAAGAGAGGGAAAGAGCACCCATCTGTCAGAGGAAGTGATAGTGGTAGGGAGAGGTTCCTGACAAAAAGGGACAGGGTAGGGACATGCCGTCCTATTACAGATGGGACTGGACTGGCTGGGCTGCATTCTGCCATCCAAGACATATGCTGTTGGTGCATCTGAATGTACTGGGGTAAAGTCACACTTGGTAGGCAGAAAATAGGTGTAGTCCTAGGGAAAGGAACCAGATGAAAAGGGATAGCCTAGGTTTGCCTGACATGCCAGTACCCTCCACCAGGTTTCTGGGAACTCATCTCCCACTGCCAGCTGTGACTTACTAGGAGCCATATAGTAATACCAATACATCCTTTGTAGAAAAACACTTCTTGTGCATTCAGCAATCTGTAAGCCTACATTATATTGCTTTACATGAAATGTGCCTTGTTGTCAATATATCCCACTCTGCCTGTACATACTGTAGCTCAAGAGCACCATTTCTGCAATCTATGCCATTCGTGTTTTGAACTCTACCTTAAACAATACAAAGCAACATGCAAACATTGACGTAGTGTCCTCTACTTCCATTTTTATGGTAACACTCCTGGCTACAGAGTTATCCATGAAGAAACCCAGACAGGAGCCTTGAGATCAGTCATGTGTCCAGGGACCCAGATAAAACCTCCATTAAGTGAACCAAGGGAGCAGGTTAGGCAGACAGCGGTGATGCGATGGGCCTTGATAGTAGAGACAATGTCATTGGCTTAACTCCTATGCACTGATTGCAAACATCAATTTTATGGAGTTGGTTAAAGAGCAACTTCAGTTGCTCCTCTGATTCTTTTTTTCAAGCCCCACTTATTATTATTACAGGTACTATAGCACTGTCAATCTCTGCAGCGTTTTACATATATATATTGTACATTCACATCAGTCCCTAACCCTCAAGGGGCGTACAGTCTAAGGTCCCTAACTCACATTCATACATACACATACTAGGGACAATAATTTAGACCGGAGCCAATTCACCTACCATGGTATAAACCTTTCCTTTCCTCCTAACTCCCCGAATCCAAATAAATAATCCAAGTACTTCCCAACCACCTAACAAAATATTATAAATCTCCCAAATCAATTAAGTAATAAATAAATAAATGAAAAATAAAATAAATATAATGTCCAAATATATAAAAGTCCAAAACAAAAGTCCACCAACACCATATAAATTCAGTAAGTTGAATTTCCAATTCTTATTCCAATCCTCATGATACCTCAAAAAAAGAATACTATAATAGTGTATTACCTTCTAAATAACAAATCTAACCAAGTATAAATGCAACCAATAAATAAGTGCACTAAAATCAAAACCAATACAACTGTGAGTATCACGTGAATAATACGATCAGTGAAAATATAACAATGCATGAAGAAAAAAAAAAAAAAAAGGACTAAAATATATCCAAAAATTATATACCGTATATATACCGTACCCAAAAAAGGGGGGAAAATGTCAGTGCGTCTTATGGAGCGAATATAAAGCGGCCGGTCCGGTATTTCTGCCACCACCATGTCAGAATACCGGGCCGGCCGCTCAGCTGTTCTCTCCTGCAAGGCCTTACCTGTTCCTCGCTCCAGCGCTGCACAGTCTTCCCGCGCTGGCTTCTCTGACAGCCGGGTGCCCACTGCGCATGCGCTGCGCTTTGTGAATGGTCCAGTGTTTTCTGGGACACATGACAGGTCCCAGAAGGCGCCGGGCCATTCACAAAGTGCAGCGCTTCTCGCGCATGCGCAGTGGGCACCCGGCTGTTACAGAAGCCGGCGCGGGAAGAAGAGCGAAGGACAACTCCGCGGAAGTGGGAGCGGGTACCTGTCAAATTCAGGTACCCGCTCCCCCTCCCTCCCCAAAGGTCAGCAGTCTCTGGTCATCCCCTGCACTGTCTGCAGTCTCTGGTCATCCCCTGCACTGTCTGCAGTCTCTGGTTATTCCCTGCACTGTCTGCAGTCTCTGGTCATCTGTACTGTGTCCCTGGTATTTTCCCTGTACTATGTCCACAGTCTCTGGTCATCTCCTGTACTATGTCCACAGTCTCTGATCATCTCCTGTACTGTGTCCGCAGTCTCTGGTCATCTCCTGTACTGTGTCCGCAGTCTCTGGTCATCTCCTGTACTGTGTCCGCAGTCTCTGACTGTCTCCTCTAGTTTGTCTGCAGTCTCTGACCATCCCTGTACTGTGTCCGCAGTCTCTGGTCATCTCCTGTACTGTGTCCGCAGTCTCTGGTCATCTCCTGTACTGTGTCCGCAGTCTCTGATCATCTCCTGTACTGTGTCCGCAGTCTCTGGTCATCTCCTGTACTGTGTCCGCAGTCTCTGACTGTCTCCTCTAGTTTGTCTGCAGTTTCTGACCATCCCTGTACTGTGTCCGCAGTCTCTGGTCATCTCCTGTACTGTGTCCGCAGTCTCTGGTCATCTCCTGTACTGTGTCCGCAGTCTCTGGTCATCCCTGTACTGTGTCCGCAGTCTCTCTGGTCATCTCCTGTACTGTGTCCGCAGTCTCTGGTCATCTCCTGTACTGTGTCCGCAGTCTCTGGTCATCTCCTGTACTGTGTCCGCAGTCTCTGACCATCCCTGTACTGTGTCCGCAGTCTCTGGTCATCTCCTGTACTGTGTCCGCAGTCTCTGGTCGTCTCCTGTACTGTGTCCGCAGTCTCTGGTCGTCTCCTGTACTGTGTCCGCAGTCTCTGGTCATCTCCTGTACTGTGTCCGCAGTCTCTGGTCATCTCTTGTACTATGTCCGCAGTCTCTGGTCATCTCCTGTACTGTGTCCGCAGTCTCTGGTCATCTCCTGTACTGTTTCCGCAGTCTCTGGTCATCTCCTGTACTGTTTCCGCAGTCTCTGGTCATCTCCTGTACTGTTTCCGCAGTCTCTGGTCATCTCCTGTACTGTTTCCGCAGTCTCTGGTCATCCCCTGTACTGTTTCCGCAGTCTCTGGTCATCCCCTGTACTGTTTCCGCAGTCTCTGGTCATCTCCTGTACTGTGTCCACAGTCTCTGGTCATCTCCTGTACTATGTCCGCAGTCTCTGGTCATCTCCTGTACTGTGTCCGCAGTCTCTGGTCATCTCCTGTACTGTGTCCGCAGTCTCTGGTCATCTCCTGTACTGTGTCCGCAGTCTCTGGTCATCTCCTGTACTGTGTCCGTAGTCTTTGGTCATCACCTGTACTATGTCTGCAGTCCATTGGTTCAGAATATTTTTTTTTCTTGTTTTTCGCCTCTAAAACCTAGGTGCGTCTTATGGTCAGGTGCGTCTTATGGAGCGAAAAATACGGTAAGTACAAAGATCATCAACTACAGTAAATCAGTGAAACAAATAAATGTATATGTGAACACTTCAATTCATATAGTGAGCACTCCGTGACCACCTCCAAATAGTAATATTAAATACCATTACCCTCAGGTTGTATTCACAAGCTTACCTCGATATTCCTGGTAAATGTACTACTTCCAAGCTTTAATTTACTCCATAAGCCCATCCTCCATATTCCTCATAAAACAAAGGAGACTCATGTAATAGGTATTCCAAGTATAAGGATAATTTAATAAAATATCTTACATTGGGGTATAAAAATAGCAGCTCTGTGGCAAACAAACCAGCCTTGAAGTCTTTAGGGCTTAGAAACCACATTTTCCAGCAATCAAAATGCCCGTGGTGGCACTTTCAGTTTTGCATGCGTTGGACATCACGTCCCTAATGCGTTTTGTCACTTCCAGACTTCATCCAGGTGAAATCAGCGGCGGCGAAGACACCGCTGGACCGAGGGACAGGTAAGTGTCTGTAATTTAAAAGTTAGCAGCTACAGTTTTTTTTTGTAGCTGCTGACTTTTATTTTATTTTTTTTTTTAGGTGGAATTCTGCTTTAAGATTTGTTTGATGACCTGAATCATTTATGTATGACAAATATGCAAAAAAAGAAAAAAAGAAAAAAAATCAGGAAAGGGGCAAATTGTACTTTCAAAAACTAGTAAGGTAAAAGCCGGCCAACTCAACCTGCGTTCGCTCGCTTCAATAACGCATGTTCTGATAAGATAAGTATAGGAAAAAGGGTGATTATATACCATGGACCAGGTAAATTCAATTTTAATTATGTTTTTTTTTAGAAAATCATCAAATTTGTCCAGACACTGTGCTTCAGAAAGGATTAATGCATGTTTGATAAAGACCTACATAGTCAAAATGCATTATCCAGCACACAATGCAAAGTCTGGACACCAGCATGTGATGCTTTAACAATTTAATACAACTGTGGATTTGACTCATACGTAGTGTGCTGAGCACCCTTTTTTTTTCTAAAGATTAACAAAAATATAAGGTGAACTAAGAGAAGATGCATGCTGTGGGCAAGGGAACGTGCCATCGGATCTGAAAAGGTTGACTATTGATCTAGATTTGATTGTAATTGAGCTGAACTGGTAAAGGGAATGGGATATTACAAGAAGGAAGGCTGTAAAAGGAAGTTAAAGTGATAGGCAGAATGAAGTTAAAATGGTAGAAGGCTACAATGAATGAAAAATCCATGCCAGTGAGAAGTAATAATAATAATAAAAATGTATGAATATAAAATAATAATATAATTAAAAAATCCATGCCAATGAGATATAATTAAAAATAAAAATAATAAAATAATATTATTAAAAAGGAAAAATTCATGCCAGTGAGAAGAAACAATAATAATAATCTAAAATATAAACTATAATAGTAATATAATAAAATAATATAATAATAATAATATAATGAAAAATCCACGACAGTGAGAAGAAATAATAATAATAATCTAAAATATAAACTATATTAGTAATATAATAAAATAATATATTGAAAAATCCACGACAGTGAAAAATAATAATAATAATAATAATGTATGAATATAAAATAATAATAAAATGTAAAAATCCATGCTAATGAGACATAATTAAAAATAAAAATAATAAAATAATATTATTAAAAAGGAAAAATTTGCCAGTGAGAAGAAACAATAATAATAATCTAAAATATAAACTATAATCGTAATATAATAAAATAATATAATAATAATATAATGAAAAATCCACGACAGTGAGAAGAAATAATAATCTAAAATATAAACTATAATAGTAATATAATAAAATAATATAATGAAAAATCCACGACAGTGAAAAGAAACAATAATAATAATCTAAAATATAAACTATAATAGTAATATAATAAAATAATATAATGAAAAATCCATGCCAGTGAGAAATAATAATAATAATAATGTATGAATATAAAATAATAATAATATAATTAAAAAATCCATGCCAATGAGACATAATTAAAAATAAAAATAATAAAATAATATTATTAAAAAGGAAAAATTCATGCCAGTGAGAAGAAACAATAATAATAATCTAAAATATAAACTATAATAGTAATATAATAAAATAAATATAATAATAATATAATGAAAAATCCATGACAGTGAGAAGAAATAATAATAATCTAAAATATAAACTATAATAGTAATATAATAAAATAATATAATGAAAAATCCACGACAGTGAGAAGAAAAACAATAATAATAATCTAAAAAATAAACTATAATAGTAATATAATAAAATAATATAGTGAAAAATCCATGCCAGTGAGAAATAATAATAATAATGTATGAATATAAAATAATAATATAATTAAAAAATCCATGCCAATGAGACATAATTAAAAATAAAAATAATAAAATAATATTATTAAAAAGGAAAAATCCACGACAGTGAGAAGAAAAAATAATAATAATCTAAAAAATAAACTATAATAGTAATATAATAAAATAATGAAAAATCCACGACAGTGAGAAGAAATTATAATAATAATTTAAAATATAAACTATAATAGTAATATAATAAAATAATATAATAAAATCCACGACAGTGAGAAGAAACAATAATTATCTAAAATATAAACTATAATAGTAATATAATAATAATATAATGAAAAATCCACAACAGTGAGAAGAAATAATAATACAAAAAATAAAAAATTTAATACTGCTACTACTACGAACAATAATAATATTAAAAAAATACAGTAAAAAATCCATGTCAGTGAGAAGACATAATAATAAAAACATCATAATAATCTAATAAAAAAATTATATAATAAAATAATAATAAAAGCGTTGCTGAAAAATGCTTACACTTTTCATTGCATACACCACCCTTATCACCTTCATCTCTAACATCATCCTCATCAAATCTGTTCTGTATATGTGTCTCCCAAACACACACCATTAGACACTTTTGGGGTATATTCATTAAAAAACTGCTAATTCGTGGTTATCTTCATTGTGAGAATCAGCAAGATGTGGGTCCAATCCCAGTTTTTCACTGGTGATAAAAATAAGATTTCAAACTTTTAAATAATGACCTAAAGGTCACTGTCCAGATCGTCTGCCCTCATTTTATCTTCTGACTTCACTTGTTGCATGCTTGCTTCATTTAAAATGTGTTTCCACTTTTGTTAAGAAGAACAAAAAAAACAACCCTTTTTGGGTGATCAATTCTTACCTTTTTCTGATCTGAAGAAATAGCTGTTTCCTTTACAGACAGATGCTGAATGGAAGGGTCTGGTTCATTATAATCACCTAGTGAACTCACAGTGTTCTTGTTGCAGTGTCTGCATCCTTTTAGATGTATTTAACCCTTGGGAAGTTTCTCACCAAAAATGAAGTTCCTATTGCAGGGGGGTGTCTAAAAGGTGACTGTGACTATCTTAGTGCAGATTTCTGAGAAAATCAGTGAGCCAATCACACAAGTAGGAACTGACATTTCTGGGGGCGTTCTGTTAACCTTTGGTAACACGTTTTAAAAACCGTATTTAGGGTGTGACATGTAACATGTCCTCATAGAGCACCTGCTCAAATCTCCCTGATCTTCCATTGTGACAAATTAAAAAGACCATGGCTGTGCGAGGCTCCGCCCATACAGCTGCGCCTTTCATTCACAGCGATCTGTGAATGAATGAACTACAACTACCCTCTGATGGTTTTTAGTTCTCAATGACCTGGTGATCACTCTCGTATTTCATTGATCTTCCTGCTCTCCAGTTACGGTCTGCTCATACAAGAGGTACGGGCAATGGGGTATTTAGGTTTTTTGCCGCCCTAGGCAACAAATATTGGCCACCCCCCCTTCCCCACAGAGAGAGCTTGACACTGACCAATACCCCCCCCCCCCCCCCCCTCACGTGGAGAGAGACTGACATTGACCAACGGCACCCTTATCCCCCCACCCAGGAGAACCTTCCACTACCATCGCCCCCCATAACCAGACACCCAGCCCCCTGACGAGGGAGAAGACACAGCTCTTGACATCCCGGGAATGAGAGTCAGGCTCTACATACACCGTCAAGCAGTCCGTAGTCTCTCTCGGTTCCCACCTGGTCCCCATGCCGCGTGTCCCTTCTTCCTTCTCTTTTTCCAGGTGGCGGTGCTGCCCCCTCTGAAAAATGCCACCCTAGGCAAATGCCTTGTTTGCCTTGTGGTAAATATGCCCCTGGTGTCAGCACATGGCTTTGTATTTCTCTGCTATGCAGAGCCATACAAAGCTGACAGGGGAGAGATCTGTATTGTTTACATACAGATCTCTCCCCTGTCGGTAATACTCTGCGATCGCTGGGTGCTGGGACCCCGTCATTGACTACTGAAGCCAACAATGGTATATACAGTTGCAAGAAAAAGTATGTGAACCCCTTGGGATTACGTGGAGTTTTGCATGAATTGGGCATAAAATGTGCTCTGAACGTCATCTAAGTCACAACAATAGAAGAACACATTCTGCTGAACATAATACTACACAAACATTAGATGTTGCCATGGTTTAATTGCACATAACATGTAAACATTCACGGTGCAGGGAGGAAAAAGTATGTGAACCTTTGGACTTAATAACTGGTTGACCTTCCTTTGGCAGCAATAACCTCAACCAAACGTTTCCTGTAGTTGCAGATCAGACCTGCACAACGATCTGGAGTCATTTTGGACCACTCCTCTTCACAAAACTGTTTCAGTGTAGCAATATTCTTGGGATGTCTGGTGTGAATCGCTCTCTTAAGGTCATGCCACAGCATTTCAATTGCGTTGAGGTCAGGACTCTGACTGGGCCACTCCAGAAGGCGTATTCTGTGCTGTTGCAGCCATTGTTTTGTTGAATTACTTGTATGCTTTGGGTCATTGTCCTGTTGCATCACCCATCCTCTGCGGAGCTTCAGTTGGCGGACAGATGGTCGTACGTTTTCCTGCAAAATGTCTTGATAAACTC